CAAAAATGACCCTGCACAATTAAACTAGATCTATTATGGCAGTCACGATTAAAGTGAAATGTGAAGAGAATGACAAGTGTCGACTACGGCATTACATTTACAGTAGATTTGCTCAGGTTTCATCAGATTTCTTTTAACGTTCAGTTTGCAGCGTTGAGCATTAAAACCAATCACATATTTCTGTTGAGCTTATGAATGCGATGACCAATTTGTAACTGCGGAGAACATTGCGAGTTGTTCAGTGCGATGTAAGAAAGAGATCGATTTTGCAGTGTTGACAGCTTTAGTGATTATAACAGAATAGATCCAGACCGATATGGTTTTTTTGAGGGCCATTGCCGATACTGATATTAGGGAGTAAAAAAAAGGCTGATATTCTTTGTGTAGGCTATATTATAGTACAGTACCAGTCAAAAGTTTGGACACTTTCCCATTCGTGTGTCCATACTTTTGACTGGTACTATATATGGAATGCAGTATATACATAAACAGAATATATATACACATAAACACAGTTTTTGCAATGATCACTCAAATGTGGTGATCAAACACTTATAATGACGTGACAAAGATATGTAATGACGGCAGGGTATTTAACAATTTAACAATACACTTTATTATCCAAAATGAGTCTGACATCAGTGCACTGAACAGTAAAGTTGAAGTTTATTCAACTTTATTTAAATTCAACTCCCGGACTCCGGGGGCTATCGACGGGGGGGTGGTCTCATTCGAAAGGGGGCCTCGAGACGTACACTCGATTCAGCGTTTGAGAGGACTCCTCGAGCTGAAGGGATCCCCCGAATTTGGTGCGGATCTGCCGCGCCATTACGGAGATATGGCCATTCAAATTTTCAATGCTATTCCACATACCTAAGCTTTAAAGATCCAGATCGCCAGTAGCAAACAATGGAGCGCGCTCTGCTGGACAAACTACGTAATTACACCATTGACAAGCATTGTATCTGCGTTTTATGTTCTGTAAAAGAAATGTTAAAATCGGTGGCATATCGGCGGCATATATGCCGATACCGATATATCTGCGACAGGCTCATATCGGCCGATAAAATGCTCATATCGGCAAAACGATATATCGGTCGGGCTCTAGTATAAAGTAGTAATTATAAAAAATGCCCTTACAAAGGTTAAAAAAAATGTCCCTGGAAATCAATTCCAGAGGGCAAATATTTTAACTTAAAGGTGACATAACACACATTTTCTTGAGTACCTATCGAGTAGTATTGCATCCTTCATATCTCCGTAGAGTCTTTAGTTTTATCAGATTTATAAAAGAAAGATACAGCTTTACGATTCTCTCTGAAAACAGCCGAGCTCCTGGAGGCGTATACATGAAACTGGTAGAACCAGGAGCCAATCATCATTCAGAGTGCTTACTGAAAATTTACACTGACTAGCACCTCTGACACTATTTGTAACTATTACCCTTGACCATCCCATATTTTATTTTCTTATTCTTATTTTCTCATATTCTTTTAATCTGTACATCATAATGGAATCAGCAGGATTCAGAAACAGAGTGAATAATGTGAATAAACTGAACTTGATACCTTCAAGGAGTCATATGTTACTGCTGAAACAAAGGTTTCTTGCAAACATGCCTAATTTAAGAGGTCGCCGGACTAAAAATAGTTGTAAGGGATACATTGATGCCCTCATTTTAATAAAAGCTTTTCATTCACCTTAATTGGACCCAGATGGCTTGGGCTTCACAGGACTTTCCTCTGGTTGGCGAGTGAGAAATTCCTCCCCGGGATAACAGTGTTGTGTTAATGAGTCAACGCGAACGCCAGGGGCACGGCACACTGGAGCCGAGCTCAAACTGCAGTCATGCATCATCAACAACATATAGCTCAATGCATTTATTGCACTTTTCCCTGGAATTCTGCATTATGTTGCAACAAAATGTTGTTTTTCTGCACTTGTAGCATTTATTAGTAATAGTAGTGGTTGTTCTCAGTAGATTAGAACTGTGCCTAACAGACAATAGCTTGCATTGTTGTGTTGTTTTTCATATCAGCATGTCAGAAAGTTAGCACATGCATTCATCTGACACTAACAGTGAAGTCCTCCGCTTCCCCACCGCAGTTCGCTCTCATTGTTTATTGTGGAAAGCATGTTTGCTCTACTGGTAAACATCTACAGTACCTGTGGTTCTGCGATTAAACCGAGGCTGTGAGGCTGTTACTGAAATGTCAAAGGTTTGTTTCAAAGTAGCTGCGCTGATGTTCGGGTTCACGTGGAGGTTTGTGCTCTAGATGTGGAGAGGTGGCGGTCTTTGAGGTTGTGTCATGGGTCACCAATTGTTTTTCCAACGCACAAACCGTTATGAGAAATGAGAATTGCATGGGTGGATGGTTCTTTTCACATGACTCTGTGATCCCAAGTGTCTTTGGCTCTGCTGTTCTCTTGTAGCCTCTTGCACAAGCACTGCTTTTACTGATGTTTACGGAGTTTTTCCAGAATAATTCACTTCTGTATTTATATTCATGTTTATTCGTTTAGCAGATGCTTTTATTCAAGGTGATTACGCACGAGTAATGCAGCCACATAGGAAATTCATACTATGGAGAATTGTTCCATAATTGCTTAGAAAAGTACAAAAGTATGTTTGTTTTTTAGTCTGATGATGTTTTCCTAATGTGTATTCCTTTATGAAGTACTTTCCATGTCAAACCCTTAGGGCAGGGCTTCAACATGTACAGCAAATGGAAAAAGTCTTTGGTGGATGTGTGCTGACCCAGTATATTTTGTCTATGAAAAGCTACAGATGTCTAAAGATAACAGTTATATGATAACACATAATATTTGGTCACTAAATCAATGTGTTTAAATTTAATATTTTGTATTTTCGTTAAGAAATTTGGTTACAGTCTTTACATAATAAATACACTGGATGGGAACTGGTTTTGTTTAGTAGCATATCATTTTTGGGGGGCCAGACTTATGAAAATCTATGGGAAAAGTTTGGTGTTTTGTATGGCATTTGTTGCTGAAGACTCGCTGATCAGCTCTGCTGAATTCTGCCAAAATTATGTTGTAATTCATTGTTCCTATTCAAATTGTTACTGAATTTCAAATTTAGCAAAAATTCATGTCATGCATAATCATAAATGATAATTGGTGTCACTTCAGAGTACTCTTGCACAACCCTAGTAATAGTATGTATTATATACTACATGGACATAAGTTCACACCTCCTAATTACTGAATTCAGCTGTTTCAATCAAACCCATTGCCACAAGTGTATAAAATCGAACACCTCGCCTCGCAGTCTGCATTTACAAACATGGGTCATTCTGAAGAGCTCAGTGAACTCAAACGTGATAGGATGCCACCTTTGCAGTAAGTCAGTTTGTGAAATTTCATCCCTGCTAAATATTCTGCGGTCAACTGTAAGTGGTATTATTGGAAAATAAAAGTGTTTAGCATCTATTCCACGAAGCGGAAGACTATGAAGTCACCAACGCTCTGCTGATTCCATAGCTGAAGAGTTACAAACTTCAGGGAATGGGTTTCCATGGAACCCCAGCTACATGCAACCTTCAACATCAGCAAGTACAAGCGTCGGATGGAGTGAAGTAAAGCACACAGGACTCTGGAGCAGTGGAAACCTGTTCTGTGGAGAGACCAATCACAAAGTCTGATGGGCGAGTCTGGGTTTGGCTGTTGCCAGGAGAACATTACCTGCCTGACTGCATTGTGCCAACTGTAAAGTTCGGTGGAGGAGGGATAATGGTATGTAGCTGTTTTTCAGGTGTCGGGATCGCAAATCTTAATGCTTCAGCATACGAAGACATTTTGGACAATGCTTTGCTTCCAGCTGTTTTGTGGGATCGGTTTGAGGAAGGACCTTTTTTATTCCAGCATGACTGTGCCAGAGTGCACAAAGCAAGGTCCATGAAGACATGGTTGGATGAGTTTGGTGTGGAAGCAGTTGACAGGTCCACACAGAGCCCTGAGCTTAAAGGGATAGTTCACCCAAAAATGAAAATTTGATGTTTATTTGCTTTTTGGGATGAACTGGAACGGAGATTGTGAGCTAGGCCTTCTCATCCAACACCAGTTCCTGACCTCACAAATGGATGAATGGGCACACATTCCCACAGAAAGCCTTCCCAGAAGAGTGGAAGCTGTTATAGCTGCAAAGGTGCGATCAACTTTATATTAATGTCTGTGTGTTTAGAATGCAGTGTCCCTGTTGGTGTAAGGGTTGCTGGTCTCTGAGTATCCATCTCCAGACTACAAACGAAATTAATAAGAAAAGTAATGCTTGGAGGAACCTTTCATTCATCATGGGTCTGGCTAAACGCTGCTCCTCCAAATCACTCTCAAGTGCCCACAGCTGGGTGTTTTTAAAAGAGTGCTTGGCATTTTCAGCTGCCTAAAAACGCTTTGGAAAGGGTTCTCTTTTCTGTCTCTTCACTGACATTTCCAGTGATTCTCTTTGAATTTCATTATAATGCATGTGAACCATCATGGCTGACCATTTTTCCCCCTGTAATCCACACGGAGCGTGTGCAGAGTAGCTGCTCTGAGGCCCAGCAGCTTTATGAACAAAAACAGAGAGAGTTAATCCAGTTAGAGAAGTGTTGAACAGCTTCTCCCGCCGCTGCCTCTCTGATGCTGGGAGCGCAAGGCAGCAAAATCATACATACGTTCTGTGAGCCTAGTGTTCGCCATGAATACACACTTTTTATGAGCATCACACTAAAACTAAAATATGAAGTGATGTTTAATATGAATGTCAGTAATTAATTGTATTGTTTTTTTTTTTAATTGTTTGAGACCCACAGACATGAACTTGCCTCCTAGTCTCATCTATATTCATGCAAGGTGCTTGACATCTCAAATGATGCTCTTGGCATCAGCTAACAGCATTTTTCAGTACCAGGTTTGCTGTTGTCCTGCTCTTGCGTCAGGCCTGCTGGGACACTGAAATGCTTCTCGACTAGTCTTTTGATGCTGTTGTTGGTCTTCAGTCTCAGGGCTGCGTGTGAAGCCGAGTCGGTGTGTGACGTTGATCCACTCAGCGCTCAGAAGCAGCACCAGCTCCAGTTCGCCATCCAGCAGCTGCAGCAGCAGAAACTGCGATCCAGACAGCTGCTTGACCAGAGCCGCACTCGTCACTAGGTAACACCGCACTTTACCTCAACACACTGAGGGTTTCTGTATTTTTAAGAGCACACATGGCTCAATCATAACTGCACAGGCTAGTATGCTAGAGAGTTTACTTGGCCTGTGCCTGTTTTAATATTTTCTCTGGCAGATAACTTTACTATGGTGACACATATGCATACCGTATTTTCCAGAAAATAAGTCACACCTGACTATAAGTTGCCCCGGGTCAAAATTGCATTGTTGAGAGAGGGGAAAAAAAACCACACACAGATAAGGTGCATCATAATTACATTCAGAAACAATGTTAAATAAAACAACATAAACACTATAAACATGTATTTTAGTTCCCATCACTCCACAACAAATCCTCTAAATATAAAGTATTCTGAAAAGAAATGAAAACATAAGTATAAAACAACCATACATTATTGTGGCATTCATTATAAACGACTTTTATTATAAACACCCAGCCTAAACCAAATTATTTAAAGCAAAACAAACTACTGGCATGTCAACAATTCTTATGGCTTTGCCATAATGCATTATTATTACCCTTGTAATAAATATTTAAGTAAAATCAACCCAAATGTTTTACTGTACTGCTTTTAACACAACTGTAAATAATTTGCTTCAGATTTACGTTTAGTATTATTATCACTTTAAAAAATATCCTCCAATAAAAAAAAGCTTTAAAAACATCCCACATTAAAGAACCGTTTTTAAATTGTAATTTTTTTTTGTTTATTTTATTATTTTTATTTTATTTTAATTTAATTTATTTTTTTTATCTGTATTGCCTCACTTGTTTTTGTTCTATTATGTATTTTTGTTGAAATTTAAGTTTTAAATAAAATAAAATAAAAAATACTGCAGTTTACTAAATACACTATACAAATAAACCTGGTGTTTGCATACCTCTCTCATTCGGCACCAATCCGAATGTGTGTACTCTTCCAAGCTTTATAATGGTGGCGAATGGGGGTCAAGATTTTGAAGTCCAATAAAGTGCATCCATCCATCATAAAAAGTGCTCCACATGGCTCCGGGGGAATAATAAAGGCCTCCTGAAGCGAATCAATGTGTTTACTTTTTACATATTTACAACTTTATAAACCGTAATCTCTAGCTTCGCGGCATGTTTCATATGATAAAAGAATAACATTGCAAAAATACGGTGAGCAGAACTTGCAACAAAAATGTTCAAAACATCACAGAAAACAAAATGTGTGAGATTGGAAAGCAAAAACACTCGCATGCATTATTAATAAATATGAGACCACTGACCCTCATGTTGAAGCCGGTCCCATTAAAGTGTGCATATGTGGGCGATATGCTATTCTGAACCTAAAATTGACTTTCTTTTTAAGGAAAAAGGCCCCAGAATATTGGGTGACTCTCATTATAATGTTCCAGTTCCTCCAGTGGAGTTCAGTCTGTATGAAACATGATCTTCTTGTGTGTTTTACTCTCAGCTGTGCATGTCACACTTGCATCAGATCCTGTAAACATCGCGTCTTCTGTGCCGCCCGCTAACATGACTGCATGCACATTTACAATAGTGTCGCAATTCAGCTACACTGATGTCACTGTTCTGTGCTGACGTTCGACTCTAATTAATGCAAGTGGAGATTTGTTTTTCTTGGCACGAGTCGATTTTGTTCAGCAGGGGATTATGGGAAAACAATCCCCACCCCCACAGACTTTTCTGGATGAAGATCTCCTCCCTGATACTGTGAGGCAATCAGTCCAGCATCTCTAGAGGGCTTCATTAAGCCACGGGACCCTCGGAGGAGACGTCTGTCATAGGCCCTCAACTCACACTGCATTACAGTAAACGTGCTGCTGTGAAATGAAATGGTCGCTCAGCTGTGTGTGTGTGTGTGTGTGTGTGTGTTTGTGAGTCAACGCTGTATCAGTGGATACTCCCTAAACCTCCCCATGAAGCACTGCTCTTCTTTTGAGACTCGACCAAGCACACATTCATTACTACAGCCACATACGAACATGTTTTCATCCCGAGGGTAGAGTTTTTCCATTAGCTCCATGATTACTGTTCAAAAGTTTGTTATTATGCAGCAAGGATGCAATAAATTAATCAAAAGTGCCAGTAAAGACATTTATAATGTTACAAAAGATTTCTATTTCAAATAAATGCTGTTTTACAAAAATATTTGGCAGCGCAACTGTTTTCAACATTGATAATAATCAGAAATGTTTCTTGAGCAGCAAATCAGCATATTAGAATGATTTCTGAAGATCATGTGACACTGAAGACTGGAGTAATGATGCTGAAAATTCAGCTGCGCATCACAGAAATAACATTTACTCACATAGAAAACAGTTATTTGAAATTGTAATAATATTTCACTGTTTTTACTGCATTTTTGATCAAATAAATGCAGCCTTGGTGAGCAGAAGAGACTTCTTTCAAAAACATTAAAAAACCTAATTATTCCAAACTTGGTGTCCACTAGTGTATTGTTAAAATGCATTTATATTTATCATTATTCTAATTAGTGCTGTTTCACGATAATGACCTGTAGGTAAATTTTAGTCACTGCAAAGCTAATAAATTTGATGACAACAAATAGATCTGGATTTTATAGTGTCTCCTTTTTGCCAGTGTGGTTTGGGTCATCATGTTTTTAGATGACTGTCGTCCTGATCTGCGTTTTGATCGCTTTTATAAAACGGAGAGTTCCGGTCCTTGATTCTGATTGGTTGAGCCATGTTCGAAGCTGTTGTAAATTACTCTACAAACATACACCTTTGTTTACGTTTGTGTGTTGCTCGGCAACCACTTTGTTGGAACCACAACCTTTTCTGAGGAACTACATTGTTTGGTGGAAGAATACTGTTTTTATTAATATCATTACACTTTATTTGCTCTGTTTTATTTTGTGAAACCTTACTACATATATGGAATAACCGTTTTATAAAAGCAATAATCCCAGTGAAGCCGTGGTTTACAGTGAATTTTTAACAGCTAAGGGGGTTGCTAACAGCTAACCGCTTCGCGTCTTCCCTAACAACGCCCCTTAGCTGTTATAAATTCACTGTAAACCACGGCTTCTTGGGGCTTATTGCTTTATTTTACACCCTCACATGCAAGCTCTCTAAGCTTTCATATCTATCTGGAAGAGCGTTTTAACATGACCTCTCAGTTGCTTCTGTTTGTTGAGTTGCTTTGCTGAGGAGATCCTTGCAGAGATGGAAAGCCAGCAGGCGAAGAGGTGTGATTGCGGAGCGTGTTATTGGGCCGCTGTGTTCTGTATTGGCACAGACTCCACGGCTCCTCTGCTGTCTTGGCCCGTGGCCACCTGGCAGCTTTAGAAAGGTGCCCTTTCCTGGCCCGCAACTCAGAACCGCCAGCCGGTGAGTCCCATCCACTTATTCATCAAACGCCAGGGGCCTCACAACTCCCTCACGGCAGCGGCTACGCGAGAGGAGCAAGACGGAAAGAATGCTTTCTCATCCCATTTGAATCAATGAAAGGTAGCCATTAAATTGCATGTCAGTATGGAAAATATGTTTACCGAGTCCAAGCTCTCGCTCAGATGAAAACTTGTCTAAACAAGAATGAAATGTGAAGAATTCCTGTGTTTTGGTATGTCCGATTATAAAGTATTTAGTGGCTGTTATGATAAGCCGTGTAATTTCTTTCTTCCATGTGAGTGAATGAACTGGCTTTTGGAGGCTGTTGTGCTTGACCTCGAATGACTCGAAGGAAAAATGCCGCTTTTAATAAAGACTGAGATAAGGTCGTTCCTTCACAGGACCGTTCAACACAATTGTTTTATTCCAAGCCTCCTCTGCTGGAAGATATCACTGAAACCTGAACTAGACAAACAGTTTTAGCACTTCAGATTCAAACAAACATTACAATGATAAGCAAAAAATGTATTTCAGATTACGCTAAGGGACTATGAGACTTATGTCTATGAAACTATTTTATTTATACACTAATGTATACCAATATTACATATTAAAGAAATAAATAAATTAAATCTGCTGAAAATGTGCTCACCCTCAGGCCACCCAAGATTAGGATGAGTTTGTTTCTTCATCAGATTTGTAGAAATGTAGCATTGCATCAGTGTCTCAGCAATGGATGCTCTGCAGTGAATGGGTGCCGTCAGAATGACAGTTCAAACAGCTGATAAAAACATCACAATAATCCACAAGTTATCCAGTCCATCAGTTAATGTCTTGAGAAGACAAAAGCTGCATGTTTGTAAGAAACAAATCCATCATTAAGGCATCATTTAACTTCAGACTGTCTTAAATACGAGTTCATAATCCATAATAACGCTTCCTCGAGTGACAACAGGAGATGCACTTTTTCACTGGAGGAAGCGTTATTATGAAGTTAAGTTATAGTCAGAAGTTAAAAATGCCTTGATGGATTTGTTTCTTACAAACACGCAGCTTCTGTCTTCTCCAGATGTTAACTGATGGACTGGAGTGCTGTGGAAGGATATTTTCAGCAAACTTAAATTTTTGGGTGAACTATTCCTTTAAACTAGTAAATGAGAAAGTATTTTAACCCTAAAAAATAATTCTGCACGGCAATTATAAATGTAAATTATAACACTGTAATGTCTTGATTACTTAATTTTAGGGAATTAATTATTATTAATTCATTCAGGGTTTGAAAGGACTCGGATCTGAAAATTCGAAGTCCACCTGATTAGAACTGATTTCAAATTTCAATAGTTTACACCTTATCAACGGTCGTCCAGCGAGCCGTTAATGTCCGTGTATCAAACTTGCACCGATTACGGGAAACACATCACACATATATCAGAAATAAAACATATTATTTGTGAATATATTGCTCCGATACTTTTAAATGATTTTAAATGTAGTCTTTTAAACTTGGTCCATGCAATTTCCGCGTTTCCTCTGCTAATAGAGAAAGGAAGGGAGGGAAGCAGGTGGTCAAAAGTCATGGGGTAGTCAAGTATAGATCCCGTGCTTGCAGGCCTGAGGGCGTGATTAAATTACTGTCCTTTTCCTGTTTGGATATAATAGTTACATTCATTGGTGGTCACAAGATATCGTGGTTTCTATATGTTGTGAACGAACCTTCCAGTCCTGATACAAAGAAAGCTTTGTTGTCTCCTGATTGAATTAGTTTAGATCTCATGAGTAGATGAGACAAGACTGACAGGAAATCGCCCCCGAATATTGGAGTCATGTGCTGGGATGATTCCATGGCATATCAGTGTCTGTTATGGATAGAAATCCCTACAACACACAAGCGTTTTATTTTCAGTAGACTTCAGGAATGAATGTCTGAATTGTCGCTCTCATCTCTCATCTTTATTTGTGTCTCAGGCCATTCTGTCGGCACACACCCTCACACATGCTGCTTCAGCATGACCTCACGCTCCCAGAAGCCCTCTGACCCAGCCGTTCAGACGCACCTTTAACCAGACGCTCACCCCCAAACCTCCCAGCAGCGCACAGAGAGACGGACATGTGCGCAAGACTATCACACACTCTCTGCACAAGTAAGACTCGATGTGTTTGCATACTGCAGTCCATTTGACTTTCTCAAGTTGGTTGTGCTTCATTAGCAGGTGTAAGTGTGGACTGAAGTGTCGATATTTGCAATTCCTGCGTTACAGTGGGTATCGAAATGAATCGGGCCCCCTTTAAAATAATCACATTTTGTTGCTTTGCAGCCTGAAATAAAGACAGACAGATTATGTTTTATCCAGCTGTATTTACTCAGTGCAACTTATAACATCCAAGTGAAAGATAAAACACCAACATGTCAGAAAAAAACATAAGCACTGAGTTGGAAAAAGGATCAGCCCCTCCTAAAAATTACTTGTAAACTCAGGAGGAAAATCAGGAGTAGCTCATCACCTTCTCAATGGCACACAAAGACATTGACTTTCAACGGTGATCAGTTGTGCTCATTTTGATCAGCTCAGCATGAAAAGAGCTTTCCTGGAGCATTTCAGTCCTTGGTAGTGCAACTGCAACCAACTCTGGGTGGCAAGGCACTGTCAAAAGATCTCACAAGTCAGGAGATGGATGAAAACTTTTTTAAAAGGCTTTATCAATGCCTAGAAGCACGGTGAAGTCTATTATTAAGAAGTGGAAGGTAAGGAGGCGACCAAGAGGCCGACAGCAACTCTGAAGCAGCTGCAGGAGTTTATGACAAAGAGTGGTCACTGTGTGCATGAGACAACAATGTCACAGATTCTCCACAAATGTGGCTTGTATGGAAAAATGCCGCTCCTCAAGAAAGACCACATGCGATTCACGCCCAATGTTTCCTCTAAGTTGCACGTGTGTGACCGTGCACTTCTCACATCGCGACCGCGCAGAAGAATAATATGCCGCGCACAGGACAGACACAAAACTTGAGTCGGGAAAGCCATTTGATTGAATTCTAGTAAATGTGAAATAATTGCAATGCTCGGGCAAACCGCTATAGAGTTGGTGTCACTAGTTAGAACCGGTTTACAGGTTTCATAGAAAGAGAATGATGATGAGTCGATGTAGAAATCAAATACTTTAATGATTGCGGATGAAATAGCTCAACACGAGAGCCAACGCAAACACAATGACATGTGAAATAAAACCTCATCGTGTTTTAAAGAGGAGTGGCTTGATTAACTGGTGGAAAAAGTAGATGATGAGCACAGAACGGTAACAAAACTCCGATACATTACAAACAGGTGTAGTGTGCAAACTCTACTGCATGGGGATGTTTAGATAACTATATAAAAATCACATGTTCATGTTTTTTTTTTTATAGTTAGTTTACAGATCTCAGTTTAAATGCTTCAGTTTGTTTTTATAATATATTGTATTATATTATATTATGTTATATTATATTATTATATTATAAACCTAATAAATAATTGACCTCAAAAATGGAATTCATGAGCAATATCTGCTTCATGTTTTCATATTGTATTATATTATAATACATAATATTATATTATATTATATTATTACAAAGAATTTAGGCAAGGCAAGGCAAGTTTATTTATATAGCACATTTCATACACAATGGTAATTCAAAGTGCTCATAATGTTATTTTTAGCAACATCATATGACCCCTTTAAAATCAATCCTAAATATAACTGGAAGCCAGTGTAAGGACCTGAGGACTGGTGTGATATGCTCAGATTTTCTGGTTCTAGTCAGAATTCTGGCAGCAGCGTTCTGGATGAGCTGCAGCTGTCTAATGGTCTTCTTGTGAAGGCCGGTGAGGAGACCATTACAATAGTCCACCCTGCTGGTGATAAAGGCATGAACAAGTTTCTCCAAGTCTTGACTGGAAACAAAACATCTAATTCTTGCAATGTTTTTGAGATGATAGTATGCTGATTTAGTTACTGCTTTGACATGACTACTGAAACTATGGTCTGTCTCCAGAATCACACCAAGATTCCTGACTTGATTTTTAGTTGTTAGACCCCTAGAGTCAAGGTATGCATTCACCTCGAGAATTTCATCTTTGTTTCCAAATGCAACGACTTCAGTTTTTTCCTTGTTTAACTGAAGAATTTAACTGTTTTGATTTTTTTTTTTTACAGTGCTGTTAGCAAGAAAAAAAAAATCAAAACAGTTAAATAGGTAACCTAAATTGTGCATTATTTAGTTACACCATGGGTCAAATCAAATATAAATATTAAAGTTAAAAGTTACACACTTTTTTGTGTGTGCACTGTACAGCTCTGGTATAAAGAATACTTTTGCTCAAGTGGCTGAAATGTCCGCCCAATAGAGAAAAGTTTTGCTCAGCAAGAAAAAAAATGAGAGGGAACATTGGTCATGACTGAGCTTTGCCAAAACACACCTTGAAGATTCTGAGTCAGAAGAGACTAAAATTGAATTATTTGGCCTCAGAAACAAAGGATATGTCTGGCGGAGATCCAATCCCAGACTTAAACCTCACTGAAAATCTGTGGAAGGACACTCACCATCAAGTGGTCAAGTGAGCAAATATTGCAAAGTCTAGATGTGCAAAGTTAGTAGAGAGAAATCCCAACACACTAAAGACTAATTAAAGCAAAAGGTGCTTCAGCAAAATACTGACACAAGGAGCTGATGCTTTTTCCAACTCAGTGATTCTGGTTTTACATTTTTTCTGACATGTTGGTGTTTTATCTTTCACTTGGATGTTATAAGTTGCACTGAGTAAATACAGCTGGATAAAACATAAACTGTGCCCGTCTTCATTTCAGGCTGCAAAGCAACAAAATGTTATTATTTTAAAGGGGGCTGATTCTTTTCTATATGCATCATCACATAAAAATATCAATATCAACTAGTAATTTTATTATGAAAATGCATAAAATAA